TCTTGAATTGTTGACAACTTCTTGAGATTACGTCTTTGAGCTTTGTCCGTTTCCGACGTAGGTGAAATCCTCTCTAAAAATCAAGTCCATCTATATGATTCATGGTTTCATTTATCAAGTCCCTTTTAATTAATATTCCCACAGTATAGACTTTTTGAAATGTGTCTAAACCAAGGTGTTGTAAATGGCACTTTTATGGTGGAGTCATATTGTCTATGAACTTTGGGACAAGTTCATGATCCGGAGGTCTTTGTGGAATAAGATCAACCTTTGATCGCCACCTAAAAAAGAAGTCAATGAAGCCTTCTTCTTCCCCTTGCTCAAGCAATTCGAGATCGCGCAAGGTAGTTGTGAGCTCGATGTTATCCCCATATTGGGTTAAAAACGCTTTTACGTCACTCCAAGTGAAAGTTTGTTTGTTATCGAGGTTATAAAACCATGATCTAGTAGTTGGGTCCAATAAAAGAGGAAAAGTACATGCTTATAGGCTTGGCTCAACCCCTTTCAATGCCATATTTCCAATAAAGCTCATTAAGTGAGTCCTAAGATTGTCTGTAACATGCATGAGCCGGTTTTTTGCACCGGTTTGGGCTGAACCGGTGCCATATGGGGGGTGCCAAATGCAATTTTTCTACTAGTGTAAAGGTTGGCAAATCCGTAGTCAAGAACTTTTCTGGGAGAGTCTTGCCACTAGGTTGTGGTGCAAGCTCATAATTGAAGTACTTATTCCCTGAGTTAGCTCGAAGGAAAAGTTTCTCCAAGGCCTCTACTCTTTCGGCTCTTGCTTTTTCTCGCAGAATGTTTTTTTCTTTCTTTTTCTGCTTTTATTTTAGCCTTTTTTGCTTTTTTATGAGCCTTCATTTGGGCTTTTTCTTTTTGTAGGGCCTTTAGGTTTTGGAGTTCTTCTCTAAGTTTCTCCAATGCTATTTTGTCACCCATGATTGGACTAGTATGTGAATGTGGAAGATGATCTAGTAATGTGTGTCACGAGAAATTGAGCGCGTTCACTTAAACCTTTTCTTCCAAGCATTCAAACAATGAACCAAAGTCAAAATGATTATTTTGATTCTTTTTTTTAATCCTTGTTATACGAATTCACTTTAAGCAAGTTTGTTGATGAAGAATGTCAAAAAATTCACAAACAATCATGTCATGATTTGTGTTGACTTTAATAAGGTAATCATCCAAGGATTTTACTTTTAATGAATTGTTTTCGAAGAAGGTAGAAGAGAAAGTCAAGAAAGTTGGATTGAAAATGCTCATCAAATTTTAGGAATATTAATCAACCTGAACATACTCCTTAAAATGATCAAATATACTATGGTATTTGTTGATCACTTAGGTTGCAATAGAGATCTATATCATTTTTATCAATTATGATTCTCATATTGCACATTTTTAAAGGATAATATTTTACTATTTGCTTAAAAAGAATGATGGCCTCCGAATGTAAAATCCAAGAAATAATTAAATCATTTTCTTGGTTTTATCATTCATTATCTTCTCTCTCTCTCTTTTTTTTTCCTGAGAATAATATTTTTTTTGTATCATACTCTCTTTTTTTTATTACTTTTAAGAACGACATTTCTTTTTTTTTTTCATTCTATTTCTCTCTTTTATTTTTTGTGTGAGGCAATAATCCCATGTAAAGTTCATGGGATTTTCCTTTTAAACCATAGAAGAGGTAAATAAATTATACTCTTAAATCATGGTTGACCAATTACAACTAAAAAAATGATAAACACGAAAATAAGCACGTTTAATAATAAACATATTGATGACGTCCTATTAAGAGATGCGAACTTCAAATGACGAGACTCATAAGAAGTAATGTCATTAGGTAGATTATAAAGTAGGTACACGAATCATCATAATAAAAAATTTGTATCGCATGCAATTTTCCGTCTTGCGCTAAGGTGGAAAGTGTAACTTCAAGAGTAACATCTGCCACATGCGTTTTTTTTTTTGCCTTTTTTTTTTTTTTTTTTTTTTTTTTTTTTTTGCGAAAACGCAATAAGGATGATAAAAACATTTTATTTTGTGAATATGCAAAAAGAACGATAAAAAAAGATGTTTTTGGATTTTTCGAAAAAAAACGATCATAGTAAAAGTTATACAATGTTGTTAGCCAAAGAGATATTTTAGCACCTACTTAACGATTAACCTTGAAGCAGTAGTATCGTTTTCTCCGTATGATATTGCTCGGGAACGAGTCAAAGTCAACGTTGAACAGTGGGCGCGCGCAACACATAGTGTTGCGCGGAGGTGCCGCGCGCAACTTCTGAACTTGCGCTAGAAGGGCGCGCGCAACTTTAAAGTTGCGCGTGCCACCTGGTAGGTTCAAAAAATTTTATTTTTTTTTATTTTTTGCAAAAACACAAAAAGAACAATAACAATTTTTTTTTTGTCGAACCATAATTTTTGCGAATTTTTTTAATTATATCTCTATGTAACAAGCTGGAATTAGTTAGATTAGACACGAAGCACATATTCATGTAGTCACATAAGCACATAAAAGGAACCGTCAAAGCATACAATGCCATTCTAAGGTTAAGGTTTGGGTGTCCAAAGGTACCATATCTTAAGAAACGATGCACAAATCAATCACTCAACGTGTTCACTCATGACATCGCCCTCTCAACATTTTGTTGACGATATGGGTGGGATGATTGTTATTGATTTCGAGATAGAAGCCTAGTGTTGGCAGCCCAAAATCAATGAGTCAATCCCCAATGGTTAAAATGTGCTATGCTTATGCATGATGCAATGTTGCTTGTTTGATTTTTACTTTTGTGAAAACGGAAGATATTTTGCGTTCAAGTATCGCTTTCTAACTAGAGATTATCCAAGTTAGTTCTGTTACAATCCATAGGCAACCTAGTGTTGGAAACCTTGAACCATAACTACGAACTAATCTTGTAACATCTAAGTCCCCAGTGGAGTTGCCATTGTAAGGATGGTGATCCCATCATAAGGGGGTCCTTCCTTAGATGCCCATTGGCCCTTTAGAAGCCTAGGAATTTACACTTGTTAGGGTGTATTAGGATTTGAATTTCTGACTGTTTGGGAGACCTTGAATCAGAAATGATACTCTCATCACGCTTTTTTATAAGAAACAAGTAGGAGTCGCCAATGACTTTTAGGAAAACTCATAAACCTCGTTCATGCCTTTCTTCCATGTGGAGTTCATGGAATAATTAGCACGAATCATAAGTTTACCGATGCCCAAATTGGTCTATATAAACCATAAATGATTTCGGGAGCGAGGGTACTAAAATAACGTTCCTTTTAGGGAGGAATCGCTATTCTAGCCCTAGTACGGCCTGTACTAGCTCTTCCTTTTTCACAATTTCATTACCAAAAAATATATGCAACGTGATAACTAAAGACTAATTTAGTTGATTTTATTTACAAGCATTAATCACGTAGGAATTACATTGCAAAAGTCGTTAATCTTATTTAATCAATATTCGTGAAAGAACAATAAATAATATTCACCTTGTCTTAAGTGATAAAACAACAATTAATTATCAAATTATGTTCTTGATTAACGAAAGAGTACTATGTGAATTAATTAATTAAAAGTTTTTTTGATGTGATCAAACAACACTATTTATTCAATTAAAGTTATTTAAACAATAAAGGAAAAGTGATTTACCTAAGTGCTCAGGGAACTAACCATTTTTCTTTTATGTTAAATCTCCGTTTAATGTGTTTATGGACTTTCTTTCTTCTTTGTACCTCCAAGGACTTTAATGGATTCAATTAGGGTTGGAAAGTATTTGGGAAGAGATAAGAAAAAGTAGTATGATAGTAAGAGAAGTTGAGAGATTAGGGTTTTGAGAATACTAGGGTTTTAATTCTGAATTTTTCGGTCCTCGTAATGCTGAACGAAGACCCCTATTTATAGGCGTAGGGATCTAGGTTTAGGGTTTTAGAGACGCGCCGTCAGGTGGCGCGCGCAACTCTCTGAGTCGCGCTGGGTGCCGCGCGCAACAGATTGAGTTGCGCTGGTTTGCGGTTTTCCTTATACGAAAACACATTTTAAAAACTTTTATAACTTTTGATTGCAGAGTCGGATTAAGGTGTGAGATATCATTGGAAATCTCTGAATGTCTACTTTCCAATGCCGTTAGAATTAGGTTAAAATATGTTGTCGATCAAAAATTATGGCCGTTGGAGTGCAAGGGTGTCGGTTTTAGGGCCCGTTTAGTATTTTGATCATAACTTCTTTGTTTTGTTCGGAATTGGGCTTATAATATACCGTTAGAAAGCTCTTTGAAAGGGATATCCAATTATATAGGCCTTGCATGGGAATTTAATGGTTGGTTTATCTGTTTTGCTCGGTTTTCAACAATGTAGGTTCCATTGGATCCAATCATTGCATTTGATGCATTTGGGTCCGTTATTAATAAAGTTTAAACATGTATGAACACGTTTTAGGCCTAATTAGTAATCGGACAAGGCTTTAAGATAACTTGGTCTCAAATATGGGTTTTAACTTACTTCATAATGCATTTTATATTCCATAAACATTTCAACTTTGATCTAACATGAAGAACAAATTTTTGTAACATCATCGCACTTCCTTTTGGGACAAGAGGCCAAAAGTAGGTGTCTACACCTGCCACATTGATAAACATATTAATTGTGATAAAATTAGTTACCATGAAATATTCTAAGTGTTTTTATGTACAAAATTTACGTAAAATTCCTATATATTCATTGTAAATATATATAATTCCATAATATAAAATATTCTAACAATCACTTGATCCTCCCCCTCAGAATCGAAAGATGTTTCCTGATTTCTTCTTTTCTTAGCCAACTTGCCTTTTTTCTTTTTTTTTTTTGCCTGCCACATTGATAAACATATTAATTGTGATTAAATTAGTAACCATGAAATATTCTAAGTGTTTTTATGTACAATATTTAAGTAAAATTTCTATATTCATTGTAAAAATATATAATTCCATAATATGAAATATTCTGACAATCACCTCATCCTCATCCTCAGAATCGGAAGATGTTTCCTCATTTCTTCTTTTCTTACCCAACTTGCCTTTTTTCTTCTGTTTTTTGGTCTGCCACATTGATAAACATATCAATTGTGATTACATTAGTAACCATGAAATATTCTAAGTGTATTATACAATTTTTAAGTTAAATTCCAATATTCATTGTAAAACTATATAGTTCCATTATATGAAAGATTCTAACAATCACCTCATCCTCACCCTCAGAATCTGAAGATGTTTTCTCCTTTCTTCTTTTCTTACCCAACTTGCCTTTTTCTTCTCCATTTTGGCCTACCACATTGATAAACATATTAGCTATGATTAAATTAGTAAACATGATAAAAATAATTCTAGATTAACTGACACAATGATAAACATATTAATTATGATTAATTTAGTAACCATGATTAACATAATTCTAAATTGACTGCCACATTGATAAGTTATATTAATTGTGATCGATTTATTAACCTTGAGAAATATAATTGTAAATTAACTAGAAATGTGTACTCCAAGTATTAAGCTGTATATCTTTTATCTATACAGATTAAATGTGATTAAAATAGTAACCAAGAGAAGTGTAATCTTAGATTAACTAGACATTTGTACTATTATTAGTGACACAAAAAAACACTTGCTTATCTCTTGAAGATGAAGCTGCCTTAGTTCTTTTCTTCCCAATTGAAATGCCCTTCTCCTGCTGTTCTAGTTCCCCCTAAAGAATTTATACAGTGAAATAGTTGTTAATATTTAAGTACTAACAATGTCAATTACAATTCATTGAATACCATGATCATATAATGTATAGTAAAATTTCAAACCAAAATAATATGAAAGTAGTTTTTATCACCTCTGAACTACTATCATCCTTCGATCTCTTTCTTCTAATAGATTTTCCTTTCTAATGACAAGGGAATAAACGCATTGTCAATTGTCTATCCCTAGATCAAATACAATTTATACAACCTAAACAAACCTAATACGAGTATAAGGCAAGCATAGGGGTCGAACCATAGGGAACGAATAAACACCACCAAATGTTATCGACAATTAAGCTAGTCCGGAATAAGAGATAAATAAAATAAAGTCTAAAGATGCTAATACAAGAAATAAAATATTAAGGGAAATGGTTTAAGTATAGCATTCACTTGAACATAAACAAAGGAATAGAAATTGAATTAATTATAAACTAAACATGCTCGAATATCGAAATAAAGGATCCAATCTAGCCGCCTTCCGGGGTCAATTGGACTCTCCTAACATAGCCTCTATGTTTCCACATTAGAACCATATACTAGGAGGTACTATTAAATAACAATCGATAGTAATGAACCTTAACTAAGTCAACTTCCGTTCCTTGTTAGCAAAGATTCACCTTTAATCAACCAACAATGTGCATTTGTAAGAATATTAAAGAATATCAAGCATATAAAGACTTTAATCACAAATAAATCAATTCTAAACCCTAGAACATGCTCAAGATCCAACTACACCACAACCATCCCCTTAATAGGGAAATTACTCACTAATCATGCTAATAACAAGATTATTTAACAAATAATCAAGAATAAACATGATTAATAAGCAATACCAACAACTAAAAATAATAATCAAAATAAAGCAAATAAAAATAGAGGAGAGAGTTAGAGATTCTCATTGATTGAATGTGAAAATCTACAAGCAAGATGATCAATCTTCCTCTTCAATATCCAAGCTCAACAATGGTGAAACCCTTACTTTCTCTCTCTAAACTACTCTAATCCTAACCTAAAATCTAGAGAGAGAAGCTCTCCTAAAAACTAATAAGAGAGTAGAATAATTGGTAATTGTTTTTCCCTTTTCTAATTACCCCAAAATTGGGTATTTATACTAAGCTAATAAAAAAAAAGAGAAATAGAAAATAAAGAAATAAAAAGAGAAAATAAAATAAAAGAAAGAAATAAAAAAAGGAAAGTAAAAAAAAGAAATAAAAATAAAAGAAAAAGGAAAATTAAAACAAAAAACAAATCCCCCCAAAAACAATAAGACCCCCTAAGCTTTCTTCTTCTCTTCGATTTTATGGCTTCTCTGAACTCCATCACCACCGCATCACACCATCACCACCGTTCATCAATTATCATCATCGGCTATCCTCGCTTCGGCCTTCAATATCAACCGTTTGATTTTATTAAACATCATGTGCGAGTCTCGTGAAATGCTTCGATCGAACCGATGGTTGGTTCGATCGAACTACGGGGTTGGTTCGGTCGAACCATGGGTGTGTTCGACCACTCCTCTTCGAAAAACAAAACCTCTAAAGTTTTTTACTCTTTTGACATTTTTTTGCATTTCGATCAAACTCTTATGCGGTTTGCCCGAACTTGAATGAAATCAAAGTTTACTCTAATATTTGCTTAATTGAGGGGCCGAATTGCAGTAGGTGTGGAGATTAATGGTGGTTGGAGAATTGGAGATGCAGGTTGCTCTGGTTTTGCTGTTTTGGGACGGTTGGTGTGAGGGATGTTGCGGGGTGCTGGTTGCGTGGGAGTGGAATTGAGGTGCTGGTGTTGTTGTGCTTGTTGTTGTTGTTGTAGGTGGTTTGTGATGGTTGGTAGATGTGGAGGTTGTTGTTGTGGTGTGGGCTGCAATGTGCGTGGAGCAGGGGAGTTCTTAGGTGGGTGGAATTGGTGGGTGATGGTGGTTCAGGTGCGGCTGCTGTGGTTGGTAAATGGGTTGGAGGTGGTGGTGGCTGTAAATGTGGGGGTCTGGTTGTGGTCGTGAGAGGGGCAGCAGTGGCTGTTGTGCTTGGTGTATTGGAGGTGAGTGGTGTTTGTGGGATGGATGTACATTGGGTGGCTGCGGTGGTCATTTGTGGTCAGGTGCGTGGATTGGGTGTGTGAGGGGGCAGGGGAATTGGTGTGGTGGAGGATAATAGGAGGTGGCTGCGGTGGTGTTGGTGGCTTGTGCAGTCGGCAATTGACTTTTGACATGAATTCGAAAACTGAACTCACTTGACTTGAAACCCGAACACCTACACACAAAACCGAGAATAGAATTGGGACAAAGAATAAAATAAAATAAATAAAATAGAAAATAAAAGAAATAACACTAAAATAATAAAAATTAAATAAAACTATACAAGTAAATAAAATCAAATAAATAACAAAATAAACTTAAAACTAATAAAAACTATGAAAGTAACAAAGAAAAGGAACGAAATAAAATAAATCGAAAGCAAATAAAATATGAAAATAAACTAGAAACTAATTGAATAAAGAAATTAAATTAAAACATACTAAAACTCAGAAATAAACTAGAAACATTATTAATAAGGAAACTAGGGAAAAAAAGGTAAAATAAACACGAAAATGACTCTAAAAATACTTCCTAAGAGTGACATAAATGTCACTCATCATCTAGGCATACAAATAGGCATACAAGTTACTATTTTAGTTAGAATCTCATCCAACACAAACCTTCATTAACTAGACTAACAATAACTAAATAATGATTCTACACCAAACTACAAAATTGGCTAAAAAGTCACCTCATTTGTACTTGCATTTTTTGACCTTCTTTTACGGGCAACCGCTTTACCCTTTTTCTTGCAGTGTTCATCCTGCCAAATAGTAAGAAACAATGTTAGTAATTAACATAGTAACCAAACAAAAAAAATAAAAAATATTGCTAAAATGCAGATATCACCTCATCATCACTACTTAAACAACTACCATTCTTTAATTTTCTTTATTCTTCTTCTTCAACCCTTTGGCCTTTCCTTTTCTTGGTGGTCCTTTTATGATATTCTCCACTTTCGTCTCATGTAATTTTTCTTTTTCTGAATCTTGCCAGACGTATTTTATGAAAAGCATGGTAAATTTGGAAGAAATGCATTACACATGTTAGCCTATGACAATTAAACTTACAGTTTCACTAGTGTTTCGGGGTTTTCTGATGTCCTGCGGGAGAGTTACAATTTCGAGACTGGAACCGGACACCTGTACCTGCAAAACAACGGAGACTCCTGGTGGTGGGAGCTCCGCCTCCAACGGTCAAGTTAGTACTTGATTAAGGAGTAATTAATGCGGAAATTAAAGTGATTGGGTCTCTCTAGGTGAGAGTGTTTAATGTGTGTAATCTGCGTTTTTTGCGTAATCTCCCTTAATGAGAATTAAGGGAGGTATATATAACCTCGGGAAACGTGCCAATCTAGGTTTAGGTTAACCTTGGGCTGATTGGGCTTCCCTCGGAAGTTGGGCCTAGGTGACCGGCTTCTCCATTAGGCATGGAGTATGCCACGTGTCATGACATAATAAGTCCAGGGTGGACGAATAAGCGTGTGCCACGTGGCAAGCCCTGAGATGTCCAACTGGGGGACACTTGGCAGGACCTGATTGGCCCACGTGGCGCATTCCGATTGGTGGGAGCAAAATCCCCTAATCATTTGCCCCTCACAGGTGGCACGTGACTGGTCACGTGTTACCTGTGACAGGTATCGCCCTGTAACAAGCGACGACCTGCTACATGTGTCACTTGGCGAGAGGCCGAGAGATTCTCCCGCCAAAATTTTGAATTCTAGAAGTGACCCTTCGCCTTCTCACTTCGCCTATATAAAGGAGTGTTGACTTCGGTCATTTTCACACTTGAAAACTTTGTGAGAGAACATTCGGACCCCTGAACTTGCTCTGACATTTTGGACCCTTTCTGCCTACCGCCTACTCTGACAAGCCGACTGCAAAGGATTTTCAGAACTTCATCAATCGTCACTCGTTCAGGTAACCGTCGGTTCTCTTACTCTTAATTTTCTCTTTACTTTATTCTTTTTTGAAATGGCACCACGGAAGCACACGACACGACCTAGGTTAGTGATCAGCAGTGTCACCGTGGACGGCTGAATCTAGGACTAGGAGTGCCGCCTGCCCTTTTCTGGACCCATCTTTGCCCTTTATACAAAGTCCGACTGTATCTGTGTCTATGCAGAGCATGGTGGCCAGAACAAAAAAGACTTCCAGGATCTCAAACTCAGACGACTCCTCCCACAGGGTGCCGATTAGTGAAACATCTGACCAGGCGCCAGATGTGGAAGTGAAACAAAGCGGCTTGAAAGCCGGCAGTTCTGAGGGAGGAGTCAAAGTGACCCCTTCCCATTTTACAGTTGACAATTCTACATTCTCTCCTGCTCCTTTTAAAGGAGAGGAGGCGGGCCCCTCCGGGAGAGGGGAGAAGTCGTCCTCTTCAGACTCGTCAGAGGACGATTCCGAGTCTAGCTCTTCTGGCCATGCTTCTTTGGACACAGAAGAGAAAAACAGTCGCCTACAAGAGGCGAGGCTTTCTCACGCAGTTGAGAAGGGGGACGATTGGGCGGAGCCATCCGCCTCTCACCGAGAGCAAAATACCCCCTACTATTGCACGGTACCTCGGGGCCGGATCACGGCCATGCAAGAGAAAGTGGAGAGCTTTATCGCAAACCACACAATGGGCCCCGACTTTTTAGTGTTCGTGCCGGATCCAGAAGACACAGTCGTCTGGACGGCTGGTACCAGTTATGATGGCGCCTGCTTTGGCTGCTACGAGGCGGCCATCAAGGCTGGGCTGCGCTTCCCACTACATCCGGCTGTTCAGCGGATCTTGGATGGGTATGAGTTGGGGTTATGGCAGTTAGCCCCGAACTCCTAGGTCAACGTACTCGGCTATGTGGCCGGGTGCGAACTGCACGGGGTGGAGCCGAGCTTCGAGGCTTTCGCCCACATGAACTACCTCATCCGGACCCCTAAGGCAGGCGGTACCGGCTGGTATCAATTGACGAGCCACAGGGGCTACCTCATGACGAGAGGTAAATCAAACAAATGGAAGGACTGGCGGAGCACCTTCCTCATTATTGAGAGTTCAGACACAGAGCTGAACAAGCGCTTCAACAGGTGGAACAGGAATCCGCCCCTTCTTGCAGGCGGCCGCAGCATGCCGCATGTTCCCCCCAAGGCTAAGAAAGAGATCCTAGATAAAGGACTCTTCAAAGTAGAGTTGAAGGTGAACTCTACTTCAGGGGTACGAGAGCAAGTACCCCTGCACTGCGTCCCGAGCTTCAAATGGCTCTACGACGAGTACTTTTTGGCCGCCTGTGGCCTCAGCAGTCGGTGCTCAAGAGGTAGCCGGCCTGTCGAATACTCTGCTGTTCCGTGCATTTCTTGTTATGACTTTTATTAACTTTGCTATTTGTTTTTGCAGCGGACGCCATAAGCAAAATTACCGCCTCCAAGACTGCGGCGGCCATGTTGCGGGCCTCCATTATGCAACAGTCTTCAACCGACTCCCCCAACAAGGGGGCACCCTTGGTGGGCTTCGAACCTTTCACCCTCTTTTTGGAGTTGTGTTTATGCATATACTGACTCTTTTCTTCTATTTTAGACGGGCGCTCCAAGAGCTTCTTCTTCCCAACAGCCGGACCCCAAGGCCCGGAGGACGACTGTTGCGAGCTCTCCTGGTTCTGCCAGGAAACATGCGGCGGCTGAGAAACAGCCGGCCACTTCTTCTAAAACTCCAGCTGGGCCACCTAGAAGTATGAAATTGTCCTTGTAAATTTTAGACTTGCTCCCTTCTTTGCTAGGTCTAATCCGTTTGTTTATGCTTGATGCAGTCGGCCCTCAGGAGCCTGACTTGGTCGAGGTGGCCAAGTCTATGATCAAAGTCGTTCCTCCAGCTGAAAGGGAGGCGGTTAGGGGTGTCAGCACCCTTGATCTAGACGGGATTGCAGGAGTCCTTGCTGAGGTATACTTAGCATATTTTTGAGTATTTGAATTCCAGGACGCCTGTTTTCTTTTTTGTTTGGAAACTGACGCCTGTTCCCCTTTTTACTTAGGCCCTGCTCCGAGTGAACGGCCTTCGCAAGCCGCTTGACCGGAAGAACAAAGAGGTAAAGACTGCAAAAGCTATGGCCGCCTCTGACTGTGATAAGGCAATGTTTCAAATTGCCCAAAATGAAGTTCTGACCATTGATATTCTTTATTATCAGGCGCAGGCTACCGCCGCTATCCGGGCTCAGTTAGAGGCGGCCCAGAAAAGGAATAGCGACCTGGAGGCAACCATCAACAACCTCAAGGCCGAGCTGAGACCTCTTCGCCAAAAGATGTCCTCATACGAAACCTTGAAGAAATCCTTGGCGAGCGTAAAGGTACGCCTGGTGACCCAGGAGAAGAGTCTTACTCAGGAGCTCTCGGAAAAGGCCGAGCAAGAAAAGAAAGAGCTAGTCCGGGAGATGATGGAAGACTCTGCTCAAATCCAGCGCATGACTTGGGGCCGCCTCTTCCCCAATGCCGACTTTGCCTGCTGGGAAAAAACGTACCGCCAGTGTTCTGATAGATATAATCAAGAGATCCTGGCGGCTGCTGAGGAAGAGGCACTGGAAGAGGAGGAGCAGCCGGTGGTGGCGCTTGTGCCGCTTGGGGGTAATACATCAAAGAAGGATGCAGCTGAAGCCGAGTCCAGCAAAAAGAGTGCTGACCAGGCGGCAGCTGCTAATATTGAAGATCTGCCCCCTTCATAAGCTTTATGTCTTCTTTCCCCGGCCTGCGTGCCGTTTGTTTGTATTTACCCGGCCAGGGGGCCGGGGCTCTGAATATTTTGCCGGTCTTTAATGACCGGCTTATTTTTAATGAATATTTTTGTTTTGCTTCAAATTTGTTTAAGTATTGAATATTTTGATATCCAATTGTACACTATACCGACTGTTTTACATGGCCGATAGTTGCAGACAGGTACGGATAGTTAGTCACGCCGCCTATGCCCCTGGACGACTGGTTTTCTGTTTCCAGGCTAGACGATCAGTCGGCCATTTATCCAATCGGTATTCGAACCATTTTAAAGACTGGATCCCCTTTAGGCAGGCGGTTCTGTCATTTGTAAAATTAACCAAGTAGGAAAGTGGTTTCCTACTTGTCATGCTTTTAGGCTAGAGACTTTAGGCCGTCTAGGCCGACTGTTCCCCGTCATATTTAATCTAGTGTGAACAGGTGATGTATGAACACCTTTTTAGTTTCATACTAAATTTTTAAGGAGTGACCAAGTAAACATGATTGTTACCTAGTCGCCAAGTAACTGAGTAGTAGAGGTATCAAGCGGTGGGTACCGGTTGTTCCCCTTTATTCGCCAATGTTTGTTGGCTTTTAACTCATAGGTTGTTAACCTAGCAGGAGTAGTGGTTGAGAGCCCCTGTTTGCTAAAAACAGGCGGACGACTCATACCTTTTAGGCTCCATACTAAGTTTGAGAGAGTGACTATGAGTTAACTTTGGTGTTACTCAGTCGCCGTCACTCCTGCTTGAGTAGTAAAGGTACCAGGCGGCGGAGGCCGGCTGAACCTTTTGATTCGCCAATGTTTGTTGGCTATTAACTCAAGAGGTACCCCCTGCATTTATCACAAGTAATACAGGGGGGTGGCTGTGTGCTTTGGAACCAGTCAGCCCTCTTCTGTGGAGAGTAGCCGACTATATATCCAGACGGCATGCCCCTATGGTGATAGAGTAAAATATTCAATGGAGAGTAGCCGACTGTAAAGGTACAGGCGGCATGCCCCTCTGAAGATAGAGTAAAATACTCAATGGAGAGTAGCCGACTGTAAATGTAT